GTTGCGTCATCCTGGAACCAAGTCATTTTTCATGACGTACAACTCTATCCGGAGGTAACCTCGTCGGAGGTTCTCTGGAGACAACATCTCCATATTCCTTCAAACCAAAAACTAAGGATCCGAAGGGTCTTTCAGGATCTGTGATCCACTACGCGCATTCTGCGCCTTCTTGGTATCCTCAAAAACTGCTTTATCCAAAAGCGATGAGGCGTTTAACTCCTCCTCAGGTCGTATAACAACCACTTCGGCGATGTCGCCTGCCTGTAAGGCAATTCCAAACTCGGCAAAGGACAACTCGTCCAGCTCTAACAGAGCACTTGCTGCGGGTCTTGCTGAGAGAGCCATCGGCTTTTCAACATCCCAGTCAAACCATTGACGAGTGTATATAGCTGTTCACTTTCACCGTCACTCACGATATCATTATCGCTACTCATGACGCTCTCAGAATCCGACGCCTCAGCGTCCACAGGTGTACACACCTCAAGGTCAAAGACCACTTCGTTTACTGACTGCACCCGACCCTCTTGGGTCAATGTCTCGTCATGAGGTGCTTGCACCTCGTTATTCCTCAAACTTAACATCCATTGATGACTTCATCCGACCCTCCAGGGCCAGTACCTAGTCGTTAGGTGCATGCACCTCGTTGTCCTCAAAGAAAACATCCATTTGTGACTTTACCCGGCCCTTCAGGGTCAGTTCCCCGTCACACATGTCACTTGGACTCATGTCTGACATCTTGGCTTGCAGCCACCAACACCGCTCACGGTGTTTAATGACGTAACATCATTCTCATGACACATGTCATATGTGCCATCTAGTGGGTTCTCAACCACACTATCGTCAGTCATTGGGCCTCGCCCAGGACTATTGTCCTCGTCACTTACAGTGTCTACAAAGTCGGATATTCCGACATCCAACATATTGACCGACTCGGTCCAATATCCGCGCCAAAAGCGCTTTTTCTTCCTAGCAGAGGTGGGTTCATGACTCTCTAGAGCCCCACCAGGAGCATTGCGAGTTGAGCCTAAGGTCTTCGACCTCCAATCAGTCCATGGTCATGGCCATGCCTAAGATAAGGTCATTCCTCGCATCCAGGTCTAAGAACAAACAGCGTTCCGTGCTGTTAAAGTCCAAGAGCTTTACAATTAAGTCCATCGGGACTTTGGGTACCGTAACACGCGTACCCGTCGCTAAGCAAACTGTGTCACTTTCACGCGCTACAAGCGCTTCAGCATACTGCTGACTACCTTCCACGGTGGTACGGCGCACATAATTGTCCGATGCCCCCGAAATGATCAAAATGATCCATTGTGTATCATAGCCCTTAACCGTCCCTTCGCCGACCAGCAAGCCTGGCTTGCATTCTCTTTCCGTTTTTGAGAGTTCGGATCTCTTTGGAACTGGGATCTGTTTACTTCTACCTCCTAGAGGTTCAACAGAACTCAGTTCTTCCCCAGTAGGGCACCCTGCACCTACTGGGTTCCGCCGTTTCCCCCCCGGCAAACCAAAGGTTTACCCATGGGGCGTCGGCCCTTCGAGGCCAAATATGCCTTTCTTGCAGGGCATTTTGCCATCAGATGGCCTGTACTCTTGCAGATATAACATCTGCGCACAATTTGCTGCTCTGCAGCGTGAAGCTCGGCTTCTTCATCCTCCACTTGACTACAGTCCATGGATACAGACCCATCAGACGAGTAGTTATAAGTGGCAGGCCTTGCGGCCTTCAAGTTAGCCTCGGCATTCCATGCCACTACAACAGTTTCCTCGAATGAGGATGGGTTTACCCGGAAGACTTCCGTTCTAGCAACGCCAACTAGGAGGCCCTCCATGAAGACAGTGACGGTCACTGCCTCAGCATAGGGTCAACGACCATGGCAGCAATGAGAGTTCTCAACTCTTGCACATATGCCGCATGCTCACGCTTGCCTTGGCGAAACGCCAAAAATCGCGACCGGTCACGGTGTGCTTGGTTTGGCGGTGCATACTGCCGGGTCATTTGAACTTTCAGATCGGCTCATGTGGGAAAAGCATCTTGCAGTGATGCACAACATGTTAATGCCCACTGTTTGGCTAAGCCACCTAACTTGCCCGTGGCAAAGCCCACACGGTACGGTTCATAGGTGATGTCGGCTATAAACATAGCCGACTCAACCTGTCGGAACCAAATCATAGGTTGTCACCTTCTTTGCCGTCGAACTTATCGACTTCCATTTGTATGGGTTTTGGTCTGCTGACCACTTCTTGCGCCACAGTCGTCATGGGCAAAGGCGCAGAAGAAGACATCTGTGTCTTTACATGCTCGACAAGAGCTTTATTATATTCATCAAGCATATGAATACGCTTGTTAACCTCTTCTTCACCCTGGGCGATGAGGTATTCTACACCTTTTGGGCCAAGGATAGGGAACAGCTTCTGCAACCCTTCATGTTGTACCTGTGACAGGCCAACCACTGACATCTCATCAATGTCCATTCTAACAAATAGAAAAGGTCGCAAACCAGGTGCGGGATTGTCTACAAGTGCTATTCGGTGTAGCCGAGCTACTTATTCCAAGCTACTTCTGCACTATGTGCAGAGGAAGACAAGCTCAGAGTGCTTTATCGTCTTAGAATGCTTAACCCTCCTAGGCTAGCTCGTAAGCTTGTGCCTATCGGTTTTACAACCGCGTCTCAAAAAGACGAGATACAACTTCTCAGGAGGAATAGAACGCTCAAGCTGTAAGGCTTATAAAGCAGGTTTGAAACTGATTTATATTTATGTTCATCTTCTAACACTAAATATAGAAGCACCTATCCTATACTTAGTGCTAGTCACTATTACTGGCTCTATAGCCTTCTACTATCATGCAAAATGCATAGTCACGTTACTTTAAACAAGTATAGTGACCACGTAGCTCTCTGCCACGATGCGACCCTTCGTACTTCAGGTACGGTCACATCACCTACTTTGTACCCAAGGTACAGCCACACCACATTGATGTGGCAGGTGTGTATGTACAATACACACCTTCATGTAACTCCGTTAAATTGCCAATTGCATCATTAACATGGCGTTCACACCCCTGGAAGGTTTTTAGCTAGGGGTTTAAGTATGCTCGAAGCAAGTCAACAGCCATCGGACGCAGCGTTCAAGAAAGGGTGTTACGGGGTTAGAGCACGTTTCGCGTCTTATACTAAAGGACTTACGAGGATACGTTACGTTTTTGATTTTTAATAAATATACCTCGGTTTTTATATGCCAAGCACGAGTGGTCTCCAAACGTCGTGGGAGCCACTCAATAGAAACGTCGCATCCTGTCGGATGATAATAGGCATGTTTCCCACTTATCAACAAATAGGAATACGACATGCCGTACCCGCTATATCGGGTACAGCGCATGCCTAAGTATGTAAGCGATGTGCTTAGCTAAGTCTATTTATGAAAGGAGCTAGCAGGATGTCTACGGTACACCCTGTTACACCGCCCCCACATAATATAGCACACACCTTGTGTGTACAACAAACTTAAAAAGTAAACACAAAACGACTACGAAAGGCATCCTTGCCTCTAAAGCAGTGATCACGGCCACATGAGTACACGAGACGACACCACGTGCAGCACATTAGCAGACAACACCGAAACGCGGACCCTGATACCGTCATTCACGACGGTGTTCACAATATCACGATCATACTCAGAAACGCGTCGCGTCTAGGAGTTATACGGCTTCAGTAGTATAGAGCGTTCGCGTGGAGACTTGAAATGCGTGGAATGTGGCGCCGATAGAGACGAAAACGCGCAAGCCAACCGTGGCTACACGCGCTGTGAGACAAACTTCACTTAACGAGTCTTGGACTGAATATATGGCGCCGGTGGAAACCGATTAAATGCTCGCCGATATTGTGCCGATGAGTGAGGAACTACGACAGAGACTTGGAAGGCCGTCTGCGAGTTGTCGTGTGCTGCTGACCGCCCTGATAGTACTGTGCACTGGCGCAAAGGTTGTCGAAGTTTCGAAGATTATGGCGTAGGGCGGTCTGACCGCGCTCCATGGACGACGACGCTTCCGAGTTACTCGTTGATTGATAAGGTAAAATCATGAATCGGAAGGTTAGAGAGATACCTCTACAAGTACCGACGCCCTCTTCCATAGAGCCGAGCTAACACGACTGTGAAAGGAGACTCTTCACCAAACCCAAGAGCTCGATCTTGGACACGGAGGCCTCGAATATCGCGAACTGTTCGAAACTCGCGATCTCGTTCACCTCTCGATCGTAGGCGTCCACGATATCTGGAACGTCTGATAAGACTGTCGTGCAAGGTTCCCACGAGCCGCTATCAGGAGAAGACCGAGCCAGCGAACGCGGAGATGCTGCGTTTTTGGAACGTAGTCGTGTGGAACGTGAACAAAACACGATCGATCTGTGACGGGTCCCTGTGAGCCAGGATACGCTCAGCCAACCAGCACCGATTACCGGCGCTATCACCCAGTGGTGGAGGACCGTCACGCAGGAATCGCACGCGTCGCGCAGGACTTGCAAGTTCTTTGTTGTCTCTGAACCAGTCACTTGCGGAGCAGCTGCAGGAGGTTGGTCGGCGGATGACCTTCGTTGACCATGATGCAAGTCAAGCGCGTAAAGTAGACGAGGCTACCGAAAGCCTTGCTGGAAATAATCCTTCCGCGATTTCTGAATTCGCAAAGCGTCTTGAACGTATGGATCGAATGCCACTATTTGTCGAGACAACGCGGTGTTGCGTGGACTGCGCCAACCTGATCTAACGAGGGATCTACGTTATCGGGGACCGCGGTATCCATCCGAGGTGAACTAATAGACGATGGAAGAACAGCCGGTCAGTAACAATTGAGACGGCCAGCATGGAAGGTTGGGTGGAGAGGCATCGAGAAAGGAATTTTCAGTGTTAAGCATCACCCTTGACTTGGCTGATCTTAAAAGGGCCAATATATCGTGGTTTCAGCTTTGTGGCACCGAGTTTTGTAGACGCATCTTGTATTCATTTGCTTAGAGCAGAAAAGAGTCACCAACCTTAAACTTCTCGAGATTCTTGCGTCCGCGTTGATCAACGGACGCCTTATGTTTGTATATTGCAGAGGTGATAGAGTTGCGCATAAACCGCTTAACGTACTGACGCTGTTGCACGAACGCTATAATCGCTGTGGAGTCAAGAAGCAAAAATTTTGCACAAGTTTAACGTCGGGAGCAGCAACGACGAATGTCGCACCCAGTGACAGAACTAGTTGAGTTGCACGGCGTTTTATAATTGGCGTCTCAGTCGCATCGGCTATGGCAGGCGAAGTAACCTCGCGCTGAGCAGCAGCGAGAGTCTGAGCAACGTCTAGTGAGTCGTCAAGGATTACGCGTAAAGACGCCGCCGGCACCAAGTTATCTGGTGCCCCTCCCATAACAAGAGTAGAACAAACGGTCAATCTCAGAAGAACAGGAACACGGGGATGGCGTGCATTGTTCATGAAGAAGGGTTTCAACATTGTAAAAGCGTGCACTGCGTTATTGAGTGCAAACTCGGCCATGGAAAGACAAGAGCTCCATGACGCAAACGAAGTAGCGAAGCTATGCACCCAATTTTTAAGGCGCGATTGACTCGCTCAGTCTGACCATACGTCTCAAGGTGGGCAGCGGTAGACATCATCAGGCGGGTGGCGAATATCTCGAACAGCCGAGACTAAAATGCGGCGGTGAAGCGAGGATCCCGATTTGAAACAATCCTGACAGGCATGCCATGATGTCGGAAAACCATGTCGATGAATAGAAGTCGCTGTCTACTTCTCAGTGATGGACGCCGCAACAGCTGAAATATGCACCTTCAAACTTAATTGGTCAGCTATCGCCAAAATACCGGTGCGCCCCTGTGCATCGGCTGGTGAACCAAGCAAGAAATCCATGCTCACAGAGCTTCTAACCTCCGTGGTAATCTGTAGAGACAAGGGGCACTTGTGACAACGGAGATGGCTGCACACACTGACAAACCTCACAGGAGCAAACCCGCTTACGTAACTGTGGTGAAGTGAGTTCCTAAAACTGCGTAATGAGACCCCAAGCCACTCACTTTGCCGGACTGCCGACTGTCGGAGGGGGTATCCCGATGCCGCGTATAGACCTTATCTCACCTTGTGTACCCGTCGGCTGGCGGGTTGCACTCTTCGGGGGTCTTGTAGGAGATGCGATGTCGGCCTAGAGAGAGGTCGACCTTGGGGTACTCGAGTGGGTATACTTTACTAGGTAGGAGGGTAGGTGGCCGCTCGGTCGACTAGGTCGAGGGTGGGCTTATAATAAAATTCTTTAGAAGAGATTATAAACCCTGGCCTTTCCCTTGATATCTCAGGGGTGTCAACCGCCTGGCCTTTACTTGCTCCCGAACCACTAGGGTAGGGAGACCGCTTCCGATAGCGGGTCGAATAATAGGGTGCTACTCAGACGATTCCATAGGCCAAATATATTTTTTGGGGCTCTCTTTGCACGTGAGTCTTAACGCACGACTGTCTTCGACGGAGGGCCAAAATGTATCCCTTCCCGGAACAGGTAGGTAGACTTAGTAAGTTCCTTGTGAGCACGACGGAGGCGTGCTACGTAGATTGCAACTTGATTAGCATTAAATATAGGTTTATCTGTTACCTCCTTTACTCTGCCTTTACCCTGAGACCTGATTCTTGATTCAGCTTGGCTAGGGTATCTGGACCTCTGGACCAGGTTCAACCTTCAGGGACCGGGGCCGAGAGTCCATCGACCGAGGAACCAATGTCTATTGATGAAGGACCAAGGTCGACCTTCATAAATCGGGGCCGAGAGTCCTTATCTCTTTGGACCACTGTCCTCTGGCATCCCAGTTCTTGAATCGCTTCACCACAACCGCCTTCTGCACTTGGTCAACGGTACACCTGCTTAAGCACGCGCATGTCTTCGACTCCTTCATCCCGTAAGTAGTCCTATATTGTTTGGCGTTTGATATCTGTTGTCTGGCCTGATGTAACTTTCGCTGTTCCTTCCTGTGGGGTTGACACACAACCTGAGAAGCCGGTCTTTGTCACTCCTGCACTCGCTACTGACCTTGGTCCAGGTCATCACCTCACTGCCAATGGGCACTTCTCTCCGTTTTCTTCTTGTATCTCTACTTCCCTTCTACCTTCGAACCTTATGTCACTTCGTTTTCTTCACCACACTGGAGACCAGTGTCCACCTCAAAAGAACAAGGTCTACCAACGAGGGACCTAGGTCTTCCCACTATAGAATCTGGTCGACCATCTAGAGTCCTCGGTTTTGGCCTCTACTCCTCATGATTTTGCATTGATTCAAAACGATTCCTCCTTGTATCCTTGCGTTCAAAATCCCGAAGTAAGGCTCCACAATTCAAATCCACTTCATCCACCCACGAGGGGTCTTCATGCCCTTTCCATCGGACGAGGAGCTCTCGTTGCTGTCTCCCGTAACGTGTTTTCTTTCCAGTGCGGGCTTCCAAGATCTCCTCGACTTCCCACTCTTCTTCTTCCAGCTCTCTTGCCCAACTGTCCTCCGGTAACAGGCATTCATCGAAGTCGACCCGATCTATTCCGCCCGTCTCTAACGCGGCGGGGAACTCTATGACCCTCTTGAGCTTGGATAGATGTACCACAGGAAATAGCCTGTACTACGGACCTCTAGTTTCCAAGCGCACTGCGTGTTCTCCCACCAACTCCAGAACTCGAAATGGTCCATGCCAGAGGTGGGCCAATTTATTGGCGTACCCTTCGTTCACCCGATCCAGATAGAGCCACACTTGAGTTCCCGGCTGAATCTTGTGGTCTACCACCCGTTCATTATGGGCTAGGATCCGAGCTTTGCTGGCCACTCGTAGGTTTTCATTTGCCTGGGCTCTCGCCCGCTGATAGAGTTGCTGAATGTGATATTTCCATCTTCGTGGCCCAGATCTCCGACGTCGCGTATCTACCACAGGTAAGGTAGCCTCGAGGGTGGTCCTAGCATCCCAACCATGGACCAGATAGAACGTCGTCTCCTACTGGACTTGGTCTTGCGCGGTGATCATCGCAAACGTTAGTCGTTCTGCATACTCGTCCCAATCCTTTTGTCCGACATCAGAGACATACATCTTGATGGATCTTGTCAGGGTCTGAACCATCCTCTCCTCGGTCTTATTTGCCTGTGGTTGATAGGCCATGGTCGCCTGTTGAAGCTGGCCCACCCATGCGACTAAACGCTCAAAGAAACCCAACATAAATCCTGGTTCTCGATCGAAGAGCAGTAGCAAGTGCAACAAGTAATTTATCAAGTTCAAATGAGATCACCCGTCCACGAGATGTTTGGGATTCATCATTAAAAATGTTAGATATTATTCAAAACTGATATTTAATATTTTTATTTGAAATAAAATAATATGGCCTCGCTAGCACCAAAATGGCGAAAAACGCATTATTCGTACCCCTCAGGTACCGTCTAGGCCGTTCGCGACGCACTAGCCTTGGCCATCACGTACTCCGTGAACAGGTCGACCCAAATCAGTAACTCGGTATTTCCTCTATGCGACCTGGGCAGAGAGGAAATATGATCCATATCTATGATCTGGAAAGGGTATGTTGCTTCGACATTCCCTGGAGTCTTGCCCTGCAGGGTAGGTCCTCCTTTCCCAGTCTCGCAATCTACAAATAAAAAAAACCTCTTCAATGGCAGTATCATCGAATTAGGTCATAGGTACTTCCAACCCCTTGGTGACCTCCTTCCAGACTGGTGTGGTAGTGATGCAGGACGTCAGCGTGGAGACTTTCGGGCATCACTAGTCTGGCCGTTACCTCTCGGTCGTCTCCCTCGACCCTCTGACCGGGGCAATACAATATTAGGCCTTTTTCACTTATCTCGTAGTCCCTGGCCATCTTACTGCAAAATTGAGCGGACTCCATGGACAGGTCGACACAATCTTCCTTCAAGTAGGCCTTCAAATCTCGCATCCAGCCTTCTTGCTCTTGTGCCTCCCTGATTCGATCAGCCCGGAGTCGTTGTATCCTACTCTCTTGCATGATCTCCTCTGATGTTCTAATGGGAGACCGAAATCTGGTCACTGCAAACATCTTGACCGGTGGACTCTGGTCCGTGGGAACTAGTAAATTGGCAATCGATTAATCGCTTCCAAACTTGGACATTCTCCCTCCGGTACTTGATCCCATTCTTCTGATGCAAGGCCGTGCTGGCTAACTGGTCGGCTATCTGATTCCAATCACATTTTACATGTACGATCCCTTGGGTAGGCCACGGCAACAGCTTATTCAAAGCTCTTGCTCGTAATGGGGACAATCCTGAAGCTTTACACTCGATCTCCCCGCATTTGCCGTACCACCAAGTTGGAATCTCCACAGATGATCAATTGCCGTCGTCCTAGAGACTCTAACAGGTAGAAAATCAGTAGCATACCTTCATATTTGGCCTCATTCACTGCAGATGTAACGAAGAACTTCGAGGCAGCCTTGACTATGGTCCAATTAGGTAATCTCCATTTAATAGCGCTACAGGCTCCACCTCCCTGTTTCACTCGGGCCAACCCATCAAAACTCATGACGTATAACTCTTTGTAGGGCTCCACAGTTGGTGTAGGTAGGTCGACCACTTGTCGTGCCTGTTTCTTGGGGGGCAATTGACGGCAAAATCGAGTCCACACTTTCGCGTGGGGTAGCACTGGCTGCGAGCGACCCCAGTACTTAATCCTCTCCCTAATTGCACTTAACAATCTCCATATTCCATTGGGACAAGAGGGCAGCCCAATTACCAAGACGTCCCTGTAAACCCGTAGACCTGACTAGCCACACCAATGTAGAGCGCGTCGTCAGGACCTTGAGGGGTCGAGTGACCAACATCGTAAAACAAGTTTCCATAATCCGCAATAAAGCCAGTACTTCTTTCTCCACCGAACTGTAATTTAATTTGTTAGTCTTAAGGGTCCGAATTGTTAAAGTCACCGGCATTAGAATGCCGCCATGGTAGTGTACCAACGACGCGGATATGGCCTATTCACTCGCATAAACAATAATTTCCGCTTCCTTGGACGGGTTAAAGTGTCGCATGATAGGTGCAGTGGTAGTCTTATTCTTGAGCATAGCGAAAGCTACTTGGATCCTGGATCACTTCTCCTCGTCTTGTGCCTTAGCTACCACACTGTCACCCGTTCTCAACTTTCATTGCCAAGAGTGATATTCCACCTTCCGTAACTCATAGAGGATCGATGCGTACACTGCATAATCTTCAATGAATCTACCGAATAGTAATTCAGACGTTCGAGAAACGATTGCATGGCTTTAAGTGTCGCTGGCAACGGTAGGTCGACCAAGGAGTGGAGGTCCTTTGGGTAAGCCTCTAGTCCTTGGTACGAGACCCGGTGCCCAAGGTAGTCGACCTTCCGGCACCCCCATGAGCTCTTGACCGCACTGATCAATAGGTTCCAATAGTCACATACATCTAACAACCGCTCTGCCTATTCGCACAACATGTCCCACGAGTCGGCCCGTATCAGAATGTCATCTATGTAGGACCGCCGACCCAGTACCGAGGGACCTGACTTTACATCAGTCTTCCCTATCGCAAACAAGTCTTCGGTCTCCTCTGTACCAGATTCTTGATAGATACGTAAAAACACATACAAAGCATTATCCAAGAGTCTCTGATATATCTGAAGCGCATTCTTGAGTCCAAATGGCATCTGCAGCCATTCGAACAACCCCAGTGGGATAACAAAAGCTGAGATCTTTCTCGCCCTTTTGGTCATGCTGACGACTCAAAAATTACTTGCCATATCCAGGGAGCAGTACTACAATGCTCCGCTCAGCTCCTCCAAACAATTCTTTGATTATAGGCATGGGGTAGACCATAAGCTGGGTCAAGTCGTTAACCATCTGATAATCAATACACAGCCTGATATCCACCCCATTCTTCTTCACAATAATGACGATTGGGCTGGCCCATGGCGAGGTATACGGCTGGATGATCTTTGCTGTTAATAGTCCCTTGATCAAATTTGCGCGATCATTGTTAACCTTCCCAGAGGCCTTGGCCTTGTCCAAATTACTTCGTAAGAGTATGGTATATTTAATATCCCCCTGGATTCGCCCGGAAATAATTCTAACTCCATTACTGCATTATCTCGAAAAATTCATTAGGTGCACTCAGAGAAGCAACATGGACCATAGGGTAATTTACAAACGTCGATACATTTTCAATCGCGTTATCGTGTGTTCTCCTTCCATCCTTAGGCTGCTTTTCCACATATGCAAAGATGCAACAATTAGAACGCTCGGCTCGTACCAGATTCAAACCTGGCAAGCCTCCTAAATAAGCTTTTGCTCGATTTTCTCCGGCAACATCCCAGCGTGATTGGTCGGGTTTTACCATTGGCGAACCAGATTGTAAAACTCTTCCATCGGACGTTTCCAACCTTGTGGGTTTCTCCACAGCCTCGGCACACAAACGATCTGATGGATGACACCTCTTTTCACAGCGGTCACAGGTCAGCCTCTTCCAATAGCCTAAGTCTTCATGCTCTCGAGACCCACAATGAATACATATTGCATTTGGGGTCGCCGACACTGTGCGCGGTCCAAAGTCCTTGGTCGAGGGTCGAGGCTGGTAGACCTCTCTGATGGCTCGCTCCCTCGGGGTCCTTGTCCTTTGATCTTTCTCCGCTTCCGTTGATAGACCTTCCTTAGGCCACCTTCGTTGATTCAGCTGGAGTCTTTGAAGTTTGATTTTTCCGAGGTTGCGCAAACCGCATGGAAAGAGCGGCGGTCTATCTCTCTTGGCCGATCAGGGTAATCGGTGCTTTCTGGCGAAATTGCCTGACCCAAACAACATCTTGCCCCGTCGGGCCTTCGTCCGTTGGCGCGCTCTCAGCACATCTTCCAGATCTTTCACATCATTCAAACAGAACTTGGTCAACTGGCCCGCCAAGTCGGGGTCGTCCAAGGTCTCGATGTAATGCTCGACATGTTCCTTTTGAATCTTGGACTACTTGTCCTTGATCGAAATCTTCGCCCTGCGTTCAGTGATATACTGACGATATAGGAAACCCAGCGGGGATTCGTCCGACCTCTTCTTCGCATGGTAATACTGGCGGGCTACCGGTACTCCGAACACCAAAACTGCATCAGAAATTCCTGGAGTAGGTCCTTCTTATTTATCTTGAACCGAGCGACCTAGCTGGCGGTACCAGTTCTGGGCTGGTCCGGTCAACCGCCCTCCAGAAACAAGACACTTTTCTCCATCTGGCACATGGCCCCTAATGAACTAGATCTTCATAGTAGTCACCCAGCAGCGCGCTCGGTCCTCATCTTTGTCTTTCTATGAAACTCCTTGAGATCCGAGGTCGCTGAGAGCTTGAAACGGGGAACCATGTTGGGCACCTGTCCCAGAGTGGCATTGGCCATCCTCGCCAGAGGTCCATCGAGGTCCATGTCATCTGGATCGTATTCACATGAACCGACCGATCCCATCTCGACATGGATTGTGCGACGATTGCAGCTGAGTATGTGCGAGCAGCGTGACAGTGAGCAGTATCTTCGCGCAGAAAATGTGAACGCGCTGGTATTGGCAGCCATCTTACAAATTCTTAGTGCAATGAGCTTGACATTATGATTTGCAATGTCACGGAGTCAGATGCAATCCTACTTAAATTGTTTGAATCATACAAGCAAACTTTTGTGTCAATCAAAAAATAGTGATAATACTGGCTAGCTGCAATATATATATGGCTACATGCATTCTATGTCTCGATAGGTTTTTGTTGTATCAGAAGTCAAAAATACTGATTCTAAGACATTTGGTCTTTGCTTGTCGCTTATAAGACATTGCAGCATTTGGTAACACGAGTACCTTCTAAAAGGAGTTATAGCTAGTGGAAGCATTCTTTTAAATGAAAGCTACCCACCACGTATGACAAGTAATTACCAACCTCTTCGGGATATCTTGCATTGTCGTCGCTGTTACAGCGAATCAAAGTTTCGTCAGAAAACTTCGGCGAGAAGAAATAATTTTACAAGATGTGGATATAGATGAAGCAAGGATGTGAGTGCAAGGGGAAAAGTTGGAGGCAAGACAAAATTGAAGCCTTCACAAAAGATAAGAGCATCGCCTGGTGATAAGAAGCGTATGTTGTTTGGAGACAAGAGGAGTGTGACCAATGGAATACCGACTGCATCGAAAAAACAAGAACGTATACTTCGGCAAATGTGTAGTCTGCATCAGATTAAATTATGGACAGCAAAAGAACGATTAGTCTGTGTTGCCTACAGCCTCAGCGGTTGAGAGAGCAATCGACTTGAAAATTCCCTCGCGCACTCCAACAACTTTAAATGATATTGCAAACTACAGTCAAATCAACACATTGCAAAAAGGTTAAAGCGACCAGAGTGGTCAACCGCAAAAAGACACTTGTAAAACTATAAACGAAGCCCCTTTTACTTGTCTTTAACTGACTGGGACCGTATTAGAAGGGCCAGTCTCCAGCAGGCTTTCTGTTTGAGCCGCGATATCCACCAGCTGAGCCCGACGAGTAGGAGTTGCCGCTTTCGCGCAAATATTCGCTGCCACTTCCACCGTCAATGTTCCTTTTCGTAAACATCACAAGCACGTTAGTATTTTAGTTTGTTGTAACATCTAGAGAGTGCAGAGCCTCACAGAGGTCCTTCCAGCACAGAGTGGAAGCCGAGCAAGCGAGGAAGAGAGTAGGTCAATAACTCCTACAGATACAAACGCAGTCAGGTCATTGAAACTACCGGTTGGCGATGTTATGAGCCACAAGTTTCTTACACGAAGAACACGAGTCTCGCCCACATTAAGCATAGAAACGGATTCACCATCATGGTTGACTTTAACCATGATCAAAGAGTTCCCGTCTGATCCCACTGTGCGCGCTATATGCAGCGTCTTGGTGTTCTTGTCCTCCTCGGGTGCGTTCATATTTGGCGAGTGCGTGAGAGACAGCTCTGGGATGCGCGAGTCCAGTAGCTCCAGCACCAGTCCTACCTCCGAAGGACTTAGCGAAAAGAACTGAGCAACATCATCACAGTCAGCCACAACAAATTTGAACTCGCCCAGTAGCTTCACATATCAGCTCACAGTCTTGTTTTGGTAGTTATATCCCGAGTTGGTGGCCTTGGCCCATGAGAGCATGATGGCACCCTGTCAATACGATCAAGAAGATTATTAACCCAATCCTCTCGTTTTTTACTAAATTTGATGGCCGTTCGATGCATCAAAGTTATTACTCTTCTCACCATACGTTTAGTCTTCAAATAGGTGCCACTGCTGGTGTATTGTGGAGCGTTAGGAGACACTTGAAAGACCGAATCGCTGCCATACACCGAAAAGTTGGGGAACATACGTTCTGTGGCTACATTACATTAGAAAGCACGTAATGAGACGCTTAAAATTATGATGGATCTTCCGTAAATAATGTATTTGCAACGCTTACAATATCGCATCAAGCTCCGAGATGCCACATTTACACCAGAATGTGCCGTTTTTCGAAGCGTCTGGCAAAGCGTCATTTTCCTCCACCGTAAGTGTCAGTGGATAAAATGTGAGAAAGTATGGATACTTAGACAAGAGCACAAAAGTCCGAGATAAGGCTTTCAAAAATATCGTATATATCATATATAAATTACGGCTTTTGTTAAAACAACAGTCGCTATTTTAGTAAAATACCGGGTACAGTCGTCATCTACTCAAACGAATCCATAAACAAGGATATTGTCCGTATTTTCCCCGTCATTTACAGAGTCAGCGTTGTAAAAAAAAACTACAGCTATAGTTCTGTCTTTCGTTTGATTGGTTGTAATACTCTGCTGGCATTAAGCTTCCAGATTCCGTAGCTGCTCGGCAGACATGGCGGATAATCCGCTTCCGATGGTTCTGAGAGCTATACAGACACTTTATGGCGTAGTACGTTGTCTTGCAATGCTAATTATGCAATTTCCACGTCATAATTTTTCCTGTATACTCCGTAATTTTTTTATTTTATAATCCCATGACACACTGTGAATCTTGTACATCCACTTATTCACAGGAGGGAGTTGTACGACAGCGAGAAGCCAACGACTTTTTGAATAATTTTGCTGTTTCAGATGCGGCATGGGGTGTAGGATTTCAGCTGCTGCAGGATGAGATGTTGGCGGTGCCTCAAGAAGCGCTTTTCTTTGCGGCCAATATGCTGCACACGAAGATGCGCAAAGACTGGATTCAGCTGTCGGTAGAACAGAAGACAGGCGTGATGGCGTCGATACAGACGGTGATACAAGTGTGGAAAACTGGTTTTCGATCAAATTATTGCCAGAGACCGCTGGCGAGCAAGCTTTGCGCTATTTATGCGGTGGCTATGATCTCGTCTCCAGGTGATTGCAAAGATCTATTGTCGCGGCTACTTATCATTTGCTCAACAAGTGGTGATGCAGGGGAGATTGCCTTCTTGCTAGCTTTTTCACGCTGCGTATGTGAAGAAATGGAGGATGCTGAGCTACCCTTTGCAGCCAAGGATGCAATGGAAAGGCATCTTTCTGTTCTGAGCGGAGACGTAGTAACTCTTATTAGCAAAGTCTTACTCATTTATGACGATCAAGATGCTCCCATAGCTGCTCTTCATGGCGAGGCTTTAGCGTGTTTAAATGTGTGGGTCAAACAAGCCGGGCTTTCGCTGGTTTCGTTGTACTCCAAGAATGAGGCCGTGATGCTGACTCTTTTAGGTGCTTTGCAGACTAAATCGCAACATTTACAGGCATGCGCTGAAATACTTACGAAGCTTATTAAAGTAGCGTCATATCCGACTCCAACTCAGCAGGAAGCTACGCTGCTTGTTGTGGCACAAGGGCTTCTAAAAACGCGTGCTGTATGCGAAAGCGCTATTAGCGCTAATGAAGATAATGTTATTCATGCTCTTACAAATGTTGTTTCAACATTTTGCGAAACATTTGCGGACTGGATTTTGGAAGGAAGGTATCCCCAGGAAGCTAAAGCTTTGGGTGAATTCATGCTGTATCTTGGCTCGCACCCCCGTCGTAATATCTCGTCGCTTACTCTTGAGTTTTGGATGATCGTTCAAGACGAACCTGTTGCCTCACGATTACAATTTTATCAGCACGATGCCTTCGTGCATCTTTTTGATGTCATACTCAAACAGTGCTCTTTTCCGCCAGGGAACGCCGAGGATATGGACGAGCTTGAGCACGATGATCTCGATGCATATCGAAGTAGCTTTCAGGGTGTCTCCGATGCTTTTATGGCAATATTTTCTTTGCTCAAGGTGCAATACCTTGCTCGCCTGCTTTCTATCCTGACATCGGCGGGGCCGAGCGATTGGCAAAATGTTGAAGTTGCTTTTTTTGCTATCTCGACAATCGCAGATGAAATCAAGAAGAATCTGCCAGAAATCTCTGCTAGCACTCCGCAGCAGGCTGAGTTAGAGAATATGATGTCGCAACTTTTTCAGGTGATCCTGCGCTCGGTAGCAAGTGCTCATCCTCTAGTAATTACAACGGCTTCACGTCTGCTGGGTCAGTTTGCTGGTTGGCTCAACGATAGGGCTTTATCTGCTCGCGCATTCGACACCGTCGAAGCTGTTCTTCAGTATCTGACTGGCGCGCTTGGGCTTAAGTTGAGTCGTGTAAATGCTGCAAAAAGTTTTATGCAAGTAGCAACGAATTGCACGAGCTGTCTTCTTGAACTGCAGCCAGGCTTTCTCGTGGCTAGCGTGCAACATTTTAGTGGTGCTTCCTGTCATGAAGTTATGCCGATAGAGGGTCGATTATTGGTTGTTGAGGGCATCGTTCGTGTAGCTGCCGTCTCTACGAACTGCTTTATGATTTTGCAGACCATACTAAACGATTCGCTATCCCGTTTAAACCAAGTGCTAGCAACGACGGAATTTGAAGGCGCGGCCTTATCAAGTCTAGTGTGCAACGAACTCCAAGTGCTTAGTAAGATGATACGGTTTCTAGATGCTCCCAACGATGCAGCTGGAGGAAAAGCCGTCACGACATGGACTATTCAGCAGATTTGGTCTCACTTAGATCCAATTGCATCACGGTTTGTGATGGACGAGGCGGTCATGACAGCTCTATTTGAGCTGTATGGATGGTGTCTGCATAGCGTGCGAGAGGAAATGGCATTACGACTTGACACAATTGCTACTTTAATCATGAGAGTGTTTAAGGAACGGCACTATGTGGCTCCGCTTGAGTGTGCATCCGTTGCTGTTGATGTATTTGGAAAGGATGCAAATGCTGAGACTGTTAATAGCTTCCGAGGACTTATGGGAGCGTTGAGTCAGTCAGCCTTTCAATTCTTTACCACTCATTCGTTGGCTGAGTCGCCGGAGGTACTGCGATCCTTTTTCGAGCTAGCATACCGTTTATTATTGTTCTGCCCAGCAGCAGTGCTCACTGCAGCCGAGTTTCCCGTGCTTGTCGAGCTCAGTCTGGCCAGTCTTGGCAACCAGGATAGAGCTTCAACCAATGCAATTCTCATGTTCCTCACATTCCTGCTGAATGAGAGCACAAATAAACTGGCGCCGTTTGCAGAAATGATTAACGCCATCGTGCTTAATGCTGGCCAAACAGAAAAGTGGCTGGACAGTCTCATTGGCGCTCTAGCTACAAAAAGTCCCAGCACACTCTATGAGTCACTGTCCAAGCTTTTGTACGCGCTTCTAACAGGCTTCACCGGCAACGAACGTGTGCGGGCAACGCTAATGCACACTTTGACCCACGATGCGCTGGGCGGAGCAGAGCTTCAACCTAAAGACAGACAACACGTGCTGCATTTGTGGCTCACATTGGCTGCAGAGCCTTCGCGCTACTCCGAGCGGCGCTTCCGTGGTCTGTGTTCTGATTTTGCCAAGGTCTGCCGCAAAGAATTGACGGTCGATGCATTATACACAATCGAGCTGCCTCACTAGGACACCTTGCTTATGCTGCTTCATTTAATGGTTTACAGCGTCACATAGATTGACTTAAGGTTGTTCAGCATTGTAGATGATTACTAGTGTACCAAACGTAACGTGATTTCTCCCGCAGCATGTCTGCGCCGAACGGCAGCAGCGCATTTCGCCTACGCCAACTCTCCGACCTACAATATAATACACAATCAGTCGTACATCGGATCCATTCTAAATCAAAGGATATTACAACGTACGATAGGATACTTTTCGTAGTAGAATAATTTCGTCTCGACCAGTTCCTTCGTCTGTTTGTCATCAAAATCCGAGACGTCGTCGCTGATATCCTGAAAAGCCAAGAGCAACAATATGATAAGAAACATATTACTAAAGCCTCAATTTATCCTTGTCAAACGGCAATACGTTCATACTTTCTCCTCGAGCGAACCCAGCGCCAATGCACGCGTACAAGCCTATCAAACCAGCGATTAATCTAGCATGAATCCAAGTCAATCCACCCAGATTTGTGTTTTTTCTTTACTGTACCCTTCCAGCAAATTGATTGTACAACATTCCCTTGCCATAAAACTTGGCACCCGTCGTCACGTCCACAACCTTTGACACCCACACAAATTGTCATTTAGGCATCGACTTTTAACTTTAAATCTCGAAACCTCGTACCTTGCCACCGACTGCCAATAAAATGGGCTTTTCCTCATCTGAACCATCATATCTAGAGTAATTACAGACTCATTATTAACAACATAAACACCTATTCAGTATACATTCAATTTATGTATATTATACATACACACGAAGCTGCTCCAGTGTATACGTAGGTAATTCTTCGGCTTCTGCCGTTGCTTTGTTTTCAGTGCCCTTGCCATTCAATAGCATAGAAAAGGGGTACGGGCAGCTATAGCCATTATTAATGAGACGATGTTCAATCTGCGGCCAGGCAAACGCTATAATAGCCACTACAAGCGCCACACTAAACAAGACGAAGCGTCCTAGACCTGTCATGTATACGGAAGATGTTTTCAAACTATGCCACGTAAGAGGGACACCGGACCATGTGGTACACACTATTTATCAATCCGCTGGACCGTCTTGAAATGATATGGCCATACATTTAATCTAATTTAATGTATCGACCATAAATTTAATAACTTACTTATTAAAATTAAAAACTTTACTTTTTAAAACTTCAACCTTCAAACTTCAAAATTTAAAACTTTTTTTTCTTTTTAAAATTCACATTAATGAAGGTAAATGTTGACAAGGTCTTAAGCACTCCCGAAGCGACGTACATAGCCAGCTATAATCAACGTGATCTATTGCTCTATGCTGTGGGTATTGGGGAGTCATCACTACAGTTCACGTATGAATTTGACGACAATTTTTCTGCTTTTCCTCTCTACCCCGTTTGTTTGCCCTTTAAGGGTCAATCACAAGATGTAGTACCGTTTCCACCTGAAAGTATCTTAGCGACATCCGATAGTATACCGAACATCAATCCAGCCATGATTCTACATGGTGAACAGTCAGTTGAGATTCTACGACCATTAAATCCTTTAGGCGGTATTCTCACAGGCAAAGCCAAGATCATTTCTTTCAACGACAAGGGCAAAGGCACGCTCATGGAGACACAGACTCAATTTGAAGACGAGAAGGGACCAATGGTTAAGCTCATTAGTGGATCTTTTATTCGTGGTCTTACGGGATACAAAAGCAAGGGACGTAAGCTCCCCCCCTCGCGTGCAGATACCCAAACGCCAACCAGATTCCCACGATGAGTTCAAGACGTCGCCCTTCCAAGCACAAATATATCGTCTATCGGGGTGAGTCAAAGCCACTTGCTGCTAGTGTGGCAATTGATTGTAATCGCATTTTTGTTTTTTTGGTGCTGCAGGGACTACAACTCACTGCACATTGACCCGGAGATTGCTACGACCGTTGGCTTTAAGCAACCCGTCCTGCACGGCTTATGCTCCATGGGCGTATCCAGCCGTGCGTTGTACAAACAGTTCTGTGGCGGTGATCCAAAGCGTTTCAAGTCCATTCGTGTCCGCTTTTCAAGTCCGTGTTATCCAGGAGAGACCATTCAAACCTCGATGTGGCAGGAGGGCAACGGCAAGGTACTGTTTCAAGCCGTGGCCAGAGAACGCGGAGTTGTGATCATCGACGGCGGCGAGTTTACTTTTGACCAAAACGCATTTTCACGTTTGTAGTCGTCGCCAATGGCAAAATGGTATGCTGCAGCATCTACAGTTCTTGTTAGTGTTACAAATGTCAGCAGGTTTTTGCTTCAAGATGTGCTACACATATCAAATGCAGCAATATATATGCACTGATGTCTATCCATATTATATGCTTTGACGTTCCAGACGAACTTCCGTAGCATCCTCCATCGAAGACTCTTAAAACCTCATAAATACAGCAAGAAGCAAGAGTCACGGAGTTTATTGCGTCGCGCAATGGTTCTTAATTGGTGCTTTACAAGAGGCCATCACCGTCATCATGCGCGTTAGTGTGGTATGACTTTTGCCAAAAAGTGCGCATTTTGCGAGCGGTGTCTTAGTAACACGGCTGCGCTGTTGACTGCTAAAGTTTTGATCGCTGAAGCTTGTGATAGAATCATTAGCTACGGTAAGCTAGCAAAAGCGCAATTTCGTTCAGCATATTTTAAGTGAGCCAACATTGTCACACACAACAGGTTAAAGAAGAATGACACAATTAGTATTTCCCAGGAAAATGCGTCTGTGCATGGCGTAGTTGCGTCGCAATTAAGGCAACTCGTTCCCCCAATCCAATAGCTTTTTCTTTGAACATCTCGTTGATGGAATCTGGGCCCGTTAGGTAGCAGATGGATGGAATGTCTCTTATCCGAGTTGTCTTTGCCCACCGGCTCAAAAGGCCCCTCCCCAATGATGGCAGAAGCGCCATAAGCACTCGTCCAGCGTCTCCTCCAACGACAATTATTCTAGAAATCATGAGTGAGTGCAGTAAATTCACCATTGTCAACTCCTCGCCTGCTGAGAGTCCTTCGCTTGCGCCGAAGACAGCTCCTCAAAAGTAAGCCAGCTGCGCAAGAAGTTTGTCTGAAGCAACAACAGCAACAAAAACTCGTATCAGCAATTGCATTTTCTCCTCTACATGACCCTCACAAACCTTCGGCTTAACGTTTGCATTGACGACATGAGAACCAAGAATCACAGCGTCTGCCCGAATGACATCCTTTTCAAACAATGCGTTCTGTAGCGTTGAACGCACAAAAGCGATTTTGTGTCATTCATTAAAATATTTCGAACACCAGCTTCCATCGACGTTGCAAGTTTCGATAGATGCAGACCCTCCGAATATGCAGTTAATACCTTGGCACCGTCGCCAGTGTGGATGTATTGCGAAGCATTATTCATTACGTCAAGAGATTGAGTATGTGACTGATGTAAATTCTGTAATTGCTGTGTCTCAATGATCGCAAGTACTTGCTACGCGATGAAAATGACGTACCAAAGTCCAATTGTTATACATAAACAGAAGAGCAGCAACAGTGCCGTAACCGTGCGGCGCAGTAAGTGACTATCGTATTTTTGCGTGAAGTCATTGACACTATGACGTTGTAATTGCGTGTATGTCGATACAGCAGGGACCCATAGCGGATATCTATCTTCTGCGCCTTCGCCCATGGCGACTGTGGCGCAAGAAGTGGTCAGCAGACCAAAACCCATACAAATGGAAGTCGATAAGTTCGACGGCAAAGAAGGTGACAACCTTATGGTTTGGTTCCGACAGGTTGAGTCGGCTATGTTTATAGCCGACATCACCTATGAACCGTACCGTGTGGGCTTTGCCACGGGCAAGTTAGGTGGCTTAGCCAAACAGTGGGCATTAACATGTTGTGCATCACTGCAAGATGCTTTTCCCACATGAGCCGATCTGAAAGTTCAAATGACCCGGCAGTATGCACCGCCAAACCAAGCACACCGTGACCGGTCGCGATTTTTGGCGTTTCGCCAAGGCAAGCGTGAGCATGCGGCATATGTGCAAGAGTTGAGAACTCTCATTGCTGCCATGGTCGTTGACCCTATGCTGAGGCAGTGACCGTCACTGTCTTCATGGAGGGCCTCCTAGTTGGCGTTGCTAGAACGGAAGTCTTCCGGGTAAACCCATCCTCATTCGAGGAAACTGTTGTAGTGGCATGGAATGCCGAGGCTAACTTGAAGGCCGCAAGGCCTGCCACTTATAACTACTCGTCTGATGGGTCTGTATCCATGGACTGTAGTCAAGTGGAGGATGAAGAAGCCGAGCTTCACGCTGCAGAGCAGCAAATTGTGCGCAGATGTTATATCTGCAAGAGTACAGGCCATCTGATGGCAAAATGCCCTGCAAGAAAGGCATATTTGGCCTCGAAGGGCCGACGCCCCATGGGTAAACCTTTGGTTTGCCGGGGGAAACGGCGGAACCCAGTAGGTGCAGGGCGCCCTACTGGGGAAGAACTGAGTTCTGTTGAACCTCTAGGAGGTAGAAGTAAACAGATCCCAGTTCCAAAGAGATCCGAACTCTCAAAAACGGAAAGAGAATGCAAGCCAGGCTTGCTGGTCGGCGAAGGGACGGTTAAGGGCTATGATACACAATGGATCATTTTGATCATTTCGGGGGCATCGGACAATTATGTGCGCCGTACCACCGTGGAAGGTAGTCAGCAGTATGCTGAAGCGCTTGTAGCGCGTGAAAGTGACACAGTTTGCTTAGCGACGGGTACGCGTGTTACGGTACCCAAAGTCCCGATGGACTTAATTGTAAAGCTCTTGGACTTTAACAGCACGGAACGCTGTTTGTTCTTAGACCTGGATGCGAGGAATGACCTTATCTTAGGCATGGCATGGCATACCATGGACTGATTGGAGGTCGAAGACCTTAGGCTCAACTCGCAATGCTCCTGGTGGGGCTCTAGAGAGTCATGAACCCACCTCTGCTAGGAAGAAAAAGCGCTTTTGGCGCGGATATTGGACCGAGTCGGTCAATATGTTGGATGTCGGAATATCCGACTTTGTAGACACTGTAAGTGACGAGGACAATAGTCCTGGGCGAGGCCCAATGACTGACGATAGTGTGGTTGAGAACCCACTAGATGGCACATATGACATGTGTCATGAGAATGATGTTGCGTCATTAAACACCGTGAGCGGTGTTGGTGGCTGCAAGCCAAGATGTCAGACATGAGTCCAAGTGACATGTGTGACGGGGAACTGACCCTGAAGGGCCGGGTAAAGTCACAAATGGATGTTTTCTTTGAGGACAACGAGGTGCATGCACCTAACGACTAGGTACTGGCCCTGGAGGGTCGGATGAAGTCATCAATGGATGTTAAGTTTGAGGAATAACGAGGTGCAAGCACCTCATGACGAGACATTGACCCAAGAGGGTCGGGTGCAGTCAGTAAACGAAGTGGTCTTTGACCTTGAGGTGTGTACACCTGTGGACGCTGAGGCGTCGGATTCTGAGAGCGTCATGAGTAGCGATAATGATATCGTGAGTGACGGTGAAAGTGAACAGCTATATACACTCGTCAATGGTTTGACTGGGATGTTGAAAAGCCGATGGCTCTCTCAGCAAGACCCGCAGCAAGTGCTCTGTTAGAGCTGGACGAGTTGTCCTTTGCCGAGTTTGGAATTGCCTTACAGGCAGGCGACATCGCCGAAGTGGTTGTTATACGACCTGAGGAGGAGTTAAACGCCTCATCGCTTTTGGATAAAGCAGTTTTTGAGGATACCAAGAAGGCGCAGAATGCGCGTAGTGGATCACAGATCCTGAAAGACCCTTCGGATCCTTAGTTTTTGGTTTGAAGGAATATGGAGATGTTGTCTCCAGAGAACCTCCGACGAGGTTACCTCCGGATAGAGTTGTACGTCATGAAAAATGACTTGGTTCCAGGATGACGCAACAGTGGCCGCTGCCACGAGAACAATGTGACGTCATTGACAAGTATTTTCGTGCGAAGCACGCGGCTGGCATGGTGCTTGAGAGTAAGTCTCCTCAATTTACGCCCACGTTTTGTGTGAAAAAGCCTAATGGGAAGTGGCGAATAGTGCATGCTTACAATAAGCTGAATGCAGCCACTGTCCCGGTTCCAAACACCGATTCCTCGCAAGGATGTTCTTCAGAACAATATGGCGGGATGTACGATGTACAGTGCCCTCGACTTAGTCGATGGATATTAACAACTGCTCATGCAAGCTAGTGATATCCCGCTGACAGCGGTCAGTACTCCGAGCGGTATGCTCTAGGAGTGGTCATTGATGCCACAAGGGCTGTCTAACGCACCTGTAACGTTTGATAGTCTAGTGACGCAGTTGTTTCAGCCCTATAGGGCGTATGCACAGACATAATTTGACGATATATTCGTTCATAGTCGAGCCGAAAATGGCGAGACTGATGTGGACAAACACATCGAGCACCTGCGAGCTGTGCTCGGTTGCATGAGGATTCATGAGTTGTATGCCAATATTGACAAATGCATCTTCGGTGCGGAAGAGATTCCCTTTTTGGGATGCTTCATTGGGAAGCGAGGAATCTGGGCAGGCCCTGTTAAGTTCAAAGCAATAGTGGATTGGCCGGTTCCGAGGAACCAAAAGGACCTCCGCAAGTGGGGCAAATTACTTGCATAAGTATAGCCAAAACTATGCGGAAGTGGCTAGGCCATTATCAAATCTCCTTAAAGAGAATATGGAATGGTGTTGGAACAGTGAGCACCACGAGGCTTTTGAAGCCGTTAAGGAGAGTCTCCTTCAGGCGTCAATTCTGGCTCTACCTGATCATGATCGCCCGTTTAGCGTCGTATGTGACGCTTTGGACTTTTCCATTGGCAGTGCACTTTTGCAAGTCGACTCTGAGGGTAGAGAACGCGTCATCGTGTTTGAGTCTCGCCAGTTGAAAGCTGCATAAAGAACTATCCAGTTCATGACAAGGAGCTACTTGCGATAATTATGCCCTTGTTAAGTTCAGGGTACACCTGTTGGGCTCAAAGTAGTTTGTGATCTATACCGATCATGCGTCCTTGCGCACAGCGACACAGTCTCGCAGAGAATGGCCCGTTTGCTCTCCTTTTTCGCGGAGTATAACTTTGAAGTGAAGCATAAGCCGGGAAAACAGAATGTTTTGGCTGACGCGTTATTGCTTAGACCGGACTATGAGCTTGCTCATCTTACTGTTGTGAGCTTGTCAGTAACGGATCGTATCCGTGTGGTGTATGCACGCGAGAGGCATATGCTGCCATTATAGAGGCGCTGGGTAGCGCAGAGTTTGAAAACTCTAGGGTGAAGCTGTAACTACGTAATCGTGCGAGATTACATCGTTATGCACTGACCGATGGTCTGTTGTACTATAGTACAGGGTCGGATGACCAGCCTCGTGTTGTGGTGCCTCATGATGAGGACCTCAAGTATCAGATACTTTATGAAGCTCATGATATACCAATTGGTGGTCATTTAGGTCGTGAAAATACCTACAGCTCGGTGAGCACCCACTATTAGTGGTCCAAGTTGTACGAATGGGTTGGTAGCGTACGCACGTGTGAACGTGTCAAAGGGTGAAGCCCTCGCCTCATATGGTTGCGCTTTTGGCGAGTTTGCCTGTACCCTCGGGGTTGTAGCAGTCCATTAGTATGGACTTTGTGCTTGGCCTACCGCGGGATGCGGCAGACAACACTGGGATTGTGGTCTTTGTAGACCGACTGAGAAAGATGGCTCACTTAGCGGTAGTGCCGGAGTCCATTGATGGAGAAGAAACAGCTAAGATGTTCATGGATCGTGTGTTTCGGCAACACGGATTGCCTGTGGCAATCGTCTCGGATAGAGACCCCGTTTTACTGGTAAGTTTTGGACATCAGGCTTTAAAGTGCTGGGCATTAGACTGGACATGTCCACGGCGGATCATCCGCAGACCGTTGATCAGACTGAACGCGTCAACCGCGTTATTGGCGATGTGCTTCGCAGTGTTTGTGCTGAAACAACCAAGCAATGGAGCACGATGCTCCCACTCATAGAGCTTGCGTTGAACAACGCGGTGCATGCCTCAACAGGCTTCACCCCATTCTATGTGAATGGTTTGGTCATCCCCGCGTTCTTCTAACGCTACCCTCTGACACATCAGGGCTTAGTGGGTGAGAGATAGCCGAAGGCTTAGCTGATAGCCCTGTTGCTATGCGCAAAAAGGTGGAAGCGTTTGTGTCAACGCGTTTTGACGTATTACGTCGCGTCAAAGACGCTATGGCTGAAAGCCAGGATGTTCAGAAGGAACATGCGGATGCCAAAGGCAGAAAGAACGAGCAAGAGTTCAAAGTGGGAGATTTTGTTTTTTTAATGCTAGGAATTACCTACTCGCGCAGTACAAAAACAAACTACGTCCACGCTTTATCAAACCTTGTAATAAGCAAGAAAGGTTTGGCCTATACGCTGAACCTTCCCAAGAAGATGCAAACACACCCTGTGGTTATGTGGGCTTGCTCAAGCCATATCTCAACCTGCCTCGGTGGACTTCGAGGGGTTGTCCCCATATCTCGGGTCGAAGTAGGCGGGTAGTACGGCACTAGAGGTGCATATGGACGCTGAATGCGTACCAGGAGGTCGATCTGACATCGAAGGTCGGCTTGAAAACGCTCAATCGCCGCTAAGCGATCCGAGATCTCAATGCGAGAATGCTTAAAGGATCGACGGTGTCGATCAACACGATCATCGAGCGATGACAGGTGAGACCTCACCGATGCAAGGGCACAACGCTCCAGGAGCTTTAATCAACGCTCAATATCAGAGAGATGAGAGGTCAATAGGTCATCGACCTCCTCCGACGTTGATTGATGACCGGGGTCATCAACGGTTTCACGTGGAACGTATCTTGGCTCGACGTCGTCACCAGGGTCATACCCAATACTTGGTGAAGTGGAGGGGTTACCCCCAGTCGTACGACTCGTGGGAGTATGAGGTACCCCTTCGGCAGGATTGCCGTGACGCCGTTGACGTTTTTGACTAAGACGGTCAGAAGCGACGACAGCTGTCGTCGGACGCTTCCTAGCACTAGGTGCTGTAAAAGTAGAGTAGTAGGCTGGCTTCGCCTCTGACCTTCAGAAGAAGCCAATGTCGGTACATCATTCAAGTGAGAGGTACGGGCAACAGCTTCAGAAGCTTGCTCCCCACAGGTCTTTGACCTGTATGTGGAAGGTAATTGACGTTTCGCTTCTAGCTTAGCGAAGTTAAAACGTAGACGACGTTCTAACCAAACGTCTTGTGCTTTAGCGCTTAAACGCAAGTTTGACAAACTTGAGAGCTTACATGCTCGTTCTACCCAACGGGTGAACTGGTGATCATCTTGTGCAGATGTTTCACCTGGTGCAAGCACCACTGGTATGCCGTTTAGTGGGTGCACAGGCACCCTAGGTGACTGTCGTGACAGTCGCTCCTGATACGATTTCATCGTAACCTCCTGAAGAGTAAGGAGCCGCTCACAAAGAGCAACACTATCTGCATTCTCGCAGGCCGTACGGGCATGGGACCCAATGACACAGGCTCGCAAAGATTGCGATGCAGCTCGTCGAGCTTCCTCATTAGGGTCCCGAGACACGAACCCATAATCACGTCGTGAAAACGTTTGTTTGGGCCGTGCCAAAGCGGCCGCTCGGGCCTCATCATCAAGTTGACGACGCTGTGCAGCGTCAAGAGGGTTGGTTACCTCTTCGTTTGTACCCTCCCTCGAGGGAAGAGAAGGTGGTTGGCCTTAAAGGGGTTGACTCCCTTAAAAGGGAAGACACAGAATGGGATCGACGTCCCTCGCTCGGTGAGCTTGATGATCTTGGGTTACTTTGACCCGAAGGTGACTCGGCTCCACCGCCTGTAGAGGCAACGTCACTGTCATCGTCCCAAAAAAGGCCGTGACGCAATGCTTCATTCATGATGGAGCAAGCGCTATGGAGACAAGTGCTTTATAAAAGCAAGTGTTCGTGAACACTGTGATACTTAAAGCAAGTGTTATGAACACTGTAATGCTTAAAGCAAGTGCTAGGCGCTCAAATGCTGTATAGGCACGTGTTCGTAAGCACACAAAGGGTATTAATAATACCAAACTTGGCACTTAACGCTTATAAGCAAGTGTCGTAACACTATAATGCTTAGCGTGAGTGCGATGCACTATATGCTCAAAGAGCGAGTGTCGTAACACAACGATGCTTTAAACGCAAGTGCAAGCACTTATTGTGAGGCAAGCAAAATAAGAAGAAAATGAAATTGATGCCTCCAATCAAGAGGCGAAAAATTTGTGGGTACGTCGGGTCCCACGGATTGGTGGGGGAGGGTGTAACGGAGTTACATGAAGGTGTGTATTGTACATACACACCTGCCACACCAATGTGGTGTGGCTGTACCGTGGGTACAAAGTAGGTGATGTGACCGTACCTGAAGTACGAAGGGTCGCATCGTGGCAGAGAGCTACGTGGTCACTATACTTGTTCAAAGTAACGTGACTATGCATTTTGCATAATAGTAGAAGGCTATAGAGCCAGTAATAGTGACTAGCACTAAGTACAGAATAGGTGCTTCTATATTTAGTGTTAGAAGATAAACATAAATATAAATCAGTTTCAAACCTGCTTTATAAGCCTTACAGCTTGAGCGTTCTATTCCTCCTGAGAAGTTGTATCTCGTCTTTTTGAGACGCGGTTGTAAAAACCGATGGGCACAAGCTTACGAGCTATCCTAGGAGGGTTAAGCATTCTAAGACGATAAAGCACTCTGATCTTGTCTTCCTCTGCACGTAGTGCATACGTAGCTTTGCTACAGTAGTCTGA